CAAAAATTATCAAACTTATAGAAGCAGAGAGTAGAAGGGCACTTCCCAGGAGCTGGAGGGAGGAGGAAATGGGGAAACGTCAAAGGGTACAAAGTTTCCTTATTCAAGATACATAAGTTCTGGAGATCTAATGTGCAGAAATGTGACTATAGTTGACAAAACCGTATTATATACTGGAAATTTGCTAAAAGGGTAAATCTTAAGTGTTATCACCACACACACAAATAAAATGGGAACTATGTAAAGTGATAGTTATATTATTACTTGGTTGTAGTGATTATTCCACAGTGTATACATATATCAAAACATCAAGTTGTATATTTTAAATAGATACAATTTTTATTTGTCAATTGTATTTCAATAAAGCTGGGAAAATATCTATGCTAGGCAAGTTCCTTTTCCCCTCAATTATCTGTTGGACTGACTTCAAATGTTTTCTAGTCTACTTTAATCTACACATTCATTCTTATTATAGCAAATAACTTTAGTATTTCCTTAAAGAAAGACAATACTCCAGCAATAGCCTGGCATCATACTTGAACATTTATCTGTATTTGAGTCCTATTTTTCCCTTTTCTTTTATCAAAATAGATGATCCTAGTAGTGAGGTTCTATAGGTGTTTTTGGAAACAAACCAACTCAGATCTCTGAATACTCAGCATAGTGCATACAGTATAGTAACAAGCCTTTAATTTGTCCTAATTACCAGGTTGAGTAGAAAAAAAATGTAGATCGAATACACACACACACACATACACACACACACACATTATGGGGGCTCTACCTTCATTACTTCATCTAAACCTAATTACTTAGCTAAGTACTCATTTCCTAATAACATCACATTAGGGGGAAGGGGCTCAACACATGAATTTTGGGGTATACAAACACTTAGTTCATAATTTAGGTGTAAAATAAGGTATATGTATATTTAATGTATGTTTATATGTGTATATATTTATAGGCAAATTTGCAAGAGAATGTGTGGAGGGTGATTGTGAATTGTTTAGTATGATTCTAATTCTGAACAAACTTATTTACCATGGTTTAATTAAATAACACCCCCCTCCAAATATATGTTTTACATATACATTTAAATTTCAGTTTTACAGTATGCTTATGTATAGTTACAACATATTTACATTACATTGACTAGAAGTAATTATATAAAGTAAAAACTTCACTGTTAGTTTTTCAGCCTACAAATCATTACACATCATGATCAATGACCCACCACATCACTTCTAAATCTTTCAATGATTATTTAATGTGTATCTCTCATCAGTTAATTCATAGATAGTTAAGTGTAGTGTGTTACCTCTTTGTCTCACAGTGATAAATTCATACAAAACTTTACAAAAAATAGATAATCAGAAGAAGGAGTTGGTCAACAATTATTAAATGTAGATCGAATACACACACACACACATACACACACACACACATTATGGGGGCTCTACCTTCATTACTTCATCTAAACCTAATTACTTAGCTAAGTACTCATTTCCTAATAACATCACATTAGGGGGAAGGGGCTCAACACATGAATTTTGGGGTATACAAACACTTAGTTCATAATTTAGGTGTAAAATAAGGTATATGTATATTTAATGTATGTTTATATGTGTATATATTTATAGGCAAATTTGCAAGAGAATGTGTGGAGGGTGATTGTGAATTGTTTAGTATGATTCTAATTATGAACAAATTTATTTACCATGGTTTAATTAAATAACAACACCCTCGAAATACATGTTTTACATGTACATTTAAATTTCAGTTTTTACAGTATGCTTATGTATATTTACAACATATTTACATTACATTGACTAGAAGTAATTATATAAAGTACAAACTTCACTGTTAGTTTTTCAGCCTACAAATCATTATACATCATGATCAATGATCCACCACATCACTTCTTTCTAAGTCTTTCAATGATTATTTAATGTGTATCTCTCATCAGTTAATTCATAGGTAGTTAAGTGTAGTCTGTTACCTCTTTGTCTCACAGCAATAAATTCATAAAACACTTAAAAAAAAGATAATCAGAAGAAGGAGTTGGTCAACAATTATTAAAATGCAGCAAAGAAACAAAAAGTGATAACGCTAAAAGTGATCATCAAATAGGAGGTAAATGGACTTACAAAAGAAATAGCTGATCATGGGGATACTGACACTTCCACTTTGAATAGACTCTACTTATGCAGCTGGGGGAATTTAATGAAGGCAAACATCAAAACAAAATAAGGAAAGTGCATGTGTTGAGAAGGATGGAGATGTCCCAAAGAAGTTACAGCCAAACACACACACACAAAATTTACGTCAAAAGAATTTTCAAAGATATTTCTTGACATTTTAAATGCAAAAGATCCAATGCTTCAAGCCCATTCAAACTTTGAAATACAAAGTTTGAGAGAGATAGAAAAGATTCTTGTCAATATTTCAACTTATACAAGAAGTCAACCTATTCAAAGCACTCTTGTAGTTAAGTGTAGTCTGTTACCTCTTTGTCTCACAGCAATAAATTCATAAAACACTTAAAAAAAAGATAATCAGAAGAAGGAGTTGGTCAACAATTATTAAAATGCAGCAAAGAAACAAAAAGTGATAACGCTAAAAGTGATCATCAAATAGGAGGTAAATGGACTTACAAAAGAAATAGCTGATCATGGGGATACTGACACTTCCACTTTGAATAGACTCTACTTATGCAGCTGGGGGAATTTAATGAAGGCAAACATCAAAACAAAATAAGGAAAGTGCATGTGTTGAGAAGGATGGAGATGTCCCAAAGAAGTTACAGCCAAACACACACACACAAAATTTACGTCAAAAGAATTTTCAAAGATATTTCTTGACATCTCAAATGCAAAAGATCCAATGGTGGAAGCCCATTCAAACTTTGAAATAAAAGGTTGAGAGAGCATAGAAAAGATTCTTGTCAATATTGCAACTTATACAAGAAGTCAACCTATTCAAAGCACTCTTGATAAGTTGCTGTTTTGTTTTTGTTTTTTCAAAATAAAATGAAGCATTTGAATTCTCAATGCTTCTAATGTTTCAAAGTACATACAATGTTCTAAAAAAATATTAGTTGTACTGGCTTTCTATTCCCTATACATTTTTGAGGGAGAATAAGAGAAAGAAGTTACAGCCAAACACACACACACAAAATTTACGTCAAAAGAATTTTCAAAGATATTTCTTGACATCTCAAATGCAAAAGATCCAATGGTGGAAGCCCATTCAAACTTTGAAATAAAAGGTTGAGAGAGCATAGAAAAGATTCTTGTCAATATTGCAACTTATACAAGAAGTCAACCTATTCAAAGCACTCTTGAGAAGTTGCTGTTTGCTTGTTTTTTTCAAAATAAAATCCTTTTAATGTTTCAACAAAAAATTTAAATGTCAGCCCTAGCCGGTTTGGCTCAGTTGATAAAGCATTGGCCTGTGGACCAATGAGTCCCTGGTTGACTCTGGTCAGGGGCATGTACCTAAGTTGCAGGCTCCTTCCCTGCCTGGAGGGCTCCTGCATGAGGCAACCAATCCATATGCTTCTCTCACGTCAATCTTTCTCTCTGTCTTTCCCTCTCTCTTCCACTCTCTCTAAAAATCAATGGAAAAATATCCTCTGGTGAGGATTTAAAAAAAATCAACCAAAGAACTTGTATACATGCATATAAGCCTAACCAATGGACACAGACACCA